GGCACCAAGCCAAGAGATTCTCTTGCCTCAGCCCCTGGAGTAGCTGGGACTACAGGCACCTGCCACAAATCCTGTCTACATATATATATATATATATAGTTGTTGTTGTTGTTGTAGCTGGGACTACAGGCACCTGCCACAAATCCTGTCTACATATATATATATATATATAGTTGTTGTTGTTGTTGTTGTTGTTTGTTTGTTTGTTTTGAGACAGAGTCTTTCTGTGTCGTCCTTGGTAGAGTGCCATGGCATCACAGCTCACAGCAACCTCCAATTCTTGGGCTTAAGCGATTCTCTTGCCTCCGCCTCCGAGTAGCTGGAACACAGGCGCCCTCCACAAGGCCCGGCTATTTTTGTTGTTTAGCAGGCCAGGCCGGGTTGGAACCCACCAGCCCCAGTACATGTGGCCCTAACCACTGAGCTATGGGCGCAGAGCCTTTTTTTTTAATTTCAGTTTTTGGCCGGGGCTGGGTTTGAACCCGCCACTCCAGTATATGGGGACTGTGCCCTACTCCTTTGAGCCACAGGTGCCGCCCTGAGCCTTTTTTTTTATTTTAATAGACGGTGAGTCTCACTCTTATTCAGACTGGTATCCAACTTGTGAACTCAAGCAGTCCACCTGCCATGGCCTCCCAGAGTGCTAGGATTACAGGCGTGAGCCACCGCCTGAATATCAATTCTTTAGCAATAATCCTTTCTATGTAGCAATAGACCATCTTAGTTGATTTAAAAGAAAAAAAATGTGATTCATTAGAACTCTTAGACGTAGAGGCCGTACAATTATTTGTCAGGGCTGTATGGAAGCCATTTTTGCATGAGTTGGAAATTGGACTAGATAATTCTTTAAGGCCTCGTTAATACTACGGTTTTATGGTATTTTGCTGCTTGCTTTAGGCTTTTGGCTGGTTATCATGCAGTGCAATTAGTTAACATTTCTATACATCTTAACTTCTAGTTTGAGGAAGAAAATGAAGAAATTGGAGGAGGTGCAGAAGGTGGACAGGGTAAAAGAAAGAGACTTTTTTCTAAAGAATGTAAGTTGTGTTTGACAATGATTTTATTAATACATGATGAAAACTTTTGGATATATTCTTTTAAAGTGAACTTACTGTTCTGAATGTTTTCCTGTATGGACAATATTGAAACTTGCCTGCCTTATCCTTTAAAAAAAAAAACAACAAAACTTGCCTATAAAATTGTGTTTAACTTTTGAATCAGATAATGATCCTAACCTCCATTTTATATGTATGTAAAAAATTATTTTATATATGTATATACCCATATATATTGTATATATATTTAGTGAGAAAATGTGATGAGTGTTTTAATTCAGGGTAGAAGAACATATCTCCATAGTTTTCCTGTCCTGTACCTTTCAGCAGGAGAAGTGGGGACTCGTTTGATTTTAAGCAACAGATGATGACAGTTCAGGAACAGGTGCTAAGAGTAGAAACTAAATTGGGGCTTTGGATTAAGGGAATGAACAAACCAAGAAGTTGGTGAACAGTGTGAGGCATTAAAATGGTTTGGAGGCTTGACACCTATGGCTCAAGTGACTAAGGTGCCAGCCACATACACCTAAGGTGGTGTGTTCGAATCCAGCCCCGGCCTACCAAATAACAATGACGGCTGCAACCAAAAAATAGCCAGACATTGTGGCGGGCACCTGTGGTTCCAGCTACTTAGGAGGCAGACGTAGAAGACTTGCTTGAGCCCAGGAGTTGGAGGTTGCTGTGACCTGTGATGCCATAGCACTGTACCCAGGGGGACAGCTTGAGGCTCTGCCTCAAAAATAAAAAAAAAAAAAAATGGTTTGGAGTTTATAATGTATTGGTCCTCTGTCCTTCCCCCTCAGTAGACTGGTTTGACCCTTTTTGGGCAGTGGCAAGAAGAAGTGAGAACTGCTGCTACTACTGGTGGTGTTCCAGGCCAACTCTTAAAAGGCACCGTGAGAATGTGTTCCATCTCCCAGTCCTACATCCGTTATAAAAAGTTATGGCTAACTATTGAGAGGCAAAAAACCATAGATTTATGAATACTGGTTTATTTAGTCTGGGTCATCTGTGAGCAGTTCCCAGATGTCCTTGAAACTACTTGATCAATATATTTTTTTCTTAACCATCTAAATCTTTCTATATCTGAGTTCTTCACCTTACACTACTTATTCCACTTGTCTGATGTTATTTACTCTGCTTGTATATGGTCAGCGTGAAAAGGGGATCACTGTACCAGAGCATCCCCACATGATGCTTGTTCAGTTGGTTGACAATAAAGACCTTTCTTCCATTTGGAATATTTTATTTCTTTTTTTTTTTTTTTTTTTTTTTTTTTTGGAGACAGATGTCTCCCTGGGTAGAGTGCTGTGGAGTCACAGCTCACAGCAACCTCCAACTCCTGGGCTTAAGCAATTCTCTTGCCTCAGTCTCCCAAGTAGCTACAACTACAGGTGCCCACTACAACACCTGGCTATTTTTTGGTTATACTTGTCATTGTTGTTTTGGCAGGCCCAGGCTGGATTCGAACCTGCCAGCTCTAGTGTATGTGGCTGGCGCCTTAGCTGCTTGAGCTACAGGTGCTGAGCTAGGAATATTTTATTTCTATGGCTACAGAAGTTTGGAATCTTCACTATCTTCTTATCTTATCTGAATCTTCATATGTCTTACTGACCAAAGATCTGTTCTCCTAAACCCTCTTCTAATTTTTTTTTTGAGACACAGCCTCAAGCTGTCCCCCTGGGTAGAGTGCTGTGGCATCACAGCTCATAGCAACTTCCAACTCCTGGGCTCAAGCGAGTTTCCTGCCTCCACCTCCCAAGTAGCTGAGACCACAGGCACCCACCACAATGCCCAGCTATTTTTTGGTTGCAGCTGTCGTTCTTTGGCGGTCCCGTGCTGGATTCGGACTCGCCACCTTAGGTGTATGTGGCTGGCGCCTTAGCCACTTGAGCCACAGGCGCTGAGCCAACCCTCTTCCTTAAAAAATTTTTTTTTTATTACTGTAACAGACTTTCAAAGCATTTGCTGGCTTTTGCTTATGCTTTTACAAACTCTTAGTTTACATACGTTCTTTATAACTTTCCCCTTTGCCAGTGAAATACGTTTTTCTACCCATGAAAATGTTAGTGACAGGCTTGGTGCCAGTAGCACAGTGGTTATGGTGCCAGCCACGTGCACCAAGGCTGGTGGGTTTGAACCTAGCCCTGGCCAGCTGAACAACAATGACAACTGCAACAAAAAATAGCCTGGTGTTGTAGTGGGCACCCATAGTCCCAACTACTTTGGAGGCTGAGGCAAGAGAATTGCTTAAGCCCAGGAATTGGAGGTTGCTGTGAACTGTGATGCCATTACTCTACTGAGGGCAACATAATGAGACTCTGTCTCAAAAAAAAAGAAAAAATGTTAGTGACAGAATAACTTCCTCAGAATATTTAACAGTAATCTTACAGTGGAGAATTCTGACAGACACTACAGTGACCAGTGATCAGTATCACCAGTAATGTACATATTGACATCATGTACCCCCGATTTGATGCATTAAGAGGACACATCATCTTTTTTTTTTTTGAGACAGAATCTCTTTTTGTTACCCTTGGTAGAGAGCTGTGACATCACAGCTCACAGCAACCTTAAACTCTTGGGCTTAAGCGATTCTCTTCCCTCAACCTCCCAAGTACCTGGGACTATAGTTGCCCACCATAATGCCCAGTTTTTTAGAGATGAGGTCTTGCTCTGGCTCAGGCTGGTCTTGAACTTGTGAGCTTAGGCAATCCACCTGCCTTGGCCTCTCAAAGTGCTAGGATTACAGATGTGAGCCATCACGCCTGTCCACATCATCTTATCCTTTCTTGTATAACCAGTCTAGTCATAAGAAAACATCAAACAGACCCAAATTGAGGGGTAGTGTACAAGATAATTGGTATTCAAAAACATCAAGGTCTTGAAACATAGGGAAAAGCTGCATAACTTTCAGAGACTGGAGAAAACTTTAAGGAGGCATGCCAACTAATTAGTGTGGGATCCTGAATCAGAAAAATGATATCGGTGGAAAAACTGGTAAAATTTGAGTAAGATCTGTGCTTATAGCAATGTTAATTTCCTAGTTTTGATAAATGCCTATGGTTATATAAGATGTTGACATAAGGGAAAGCTAGATATAGGGCATATGGGAGCTCTGTACTATTTTTGCAACTCATTTGTAAGTCTAAAATTAAAAAAGAAAAAAGGCAAAAACATAATTTTAATATCTAAAAAAGAAGGATAGAAAATACTGGTTCCTGGGTGGCGCCTGTGGCTCAGTGGGTAGGGCGCTGGCCCCATATACCAAGGGTGGCAGGTTCAAACTCGGCCCCAGCCAAACTGCACCAAAAAAATAGCTGGGCATTGTGGTGGGTGCCTGTAGTCCCAGCTAGTCAGGAGGCTGAGGCTAGAGAATTGCCTAAGCCCAGGAGCTGGAGGTTTCTGTGAGCTGTGTGATGCCACAGCACTCTACCGAGGGTGACAAAATAAGACACTGTCTCTACAAAAAAAAGAAAATACTGGTTCCTGTGTTTGTTTTCTACCTTCTGTTTTTGGAACTAAAGGCTCTTGCCTGTGTAAACCCTAGGGATACTTCTGTCCCAGGCTGGTTTCCAAGCCTTTTTTTTTTTTTTTTGAGACATAGTCTCACTCAGTCAACTTGGGGTTGAGTGCCATAGCATCATAGCTCACAGCACCTTCAAACTCTTGGGCTCAAGTGATTCTCTTGCCTAAGCCTCCCAAGTAGCTGGTACTACAGGCACCTGCCACAATGCCCAGCTATTTTTTAGAGATAGAGTCTTGCTCTTGCTCAGGCTGGTCTTGAACTCCTGAGCTCAAGCAATCCACCTGCCTTGGCCTCCCAGCGTGCTAGAATTACAGACGTGAGCCACCGCACCCAGCCACAAGTCACCCTTTTCTTTTGTAAGCTTGGTCTACTTTCTTCTCTTTTCACTTTTATTAGTTTTACTTATCCTAAATAGGAATTACTGTTAACGTACTCATTCCTTTTAGAAGTGTTCTAGGAATTTCTTTTTTAAAAAATGTAAAACTTACAATAAATTATACAAGTCTTAAGTGAACAGCTTGCTGAATTTTATGTACTGTAAGCCGTCGGCCCTCAGTATCTATAGGTTCTACATATGTGGATTTAATCAACCTCAGAAAGAAAGTATTTGGGGGCTCAGCGCCTGTGGCTCAATCGGCTCAGGCACCAGCCACATACACCTAAGGTGGCGGGTTCGAATCCCCAGCCCGGGCCCGCCAAACAACAATGATGGCTGCAACCAAAAAATGGCCAGTGCTGTGGCGGGCGCCTGTAGTCCCAGCTACTTGGGAGGCTGAGGCAGGAGACTCGCTTGAGCCCAGGAGTTGGAGGTTGCTGTGAGCTGTGAAGCCATGGCACTCTACCCAGGGGGATAGCTTGAGGCTCCGTCTCAAAAAAAAAAAAAAAGAAAGTATTTGGGGAGAAAATTGTATCTGTACTGAAGTATTTATATTAGATGAGTAATCTAGAGATGATTTAAAATAGGATGTGCATAGGTTATATGCAAATACTATGCCATTATGTATCAGGGACTTGAGCATCTATCTGCAGGTTTTGCATCTACAGGAGGCCCTAGAAACAAGCTCTCATGGATATCAAGGGATATGTGTGTATATATATCTACACACACTTACTTGTAACCACCACAAAGATGAAGATGAAACATTTCCAGCATGTGACAGCATTTCTTGACATTTAACGTATACCTTTGAGAATCTGATAAAAATTATAACTCTTCTTCCCAGAAAAATAAACACCTACAGATAAAGTACAAAATTTTTCTGTGGACTTCAGAAAAATTTCAGGAGAGACTCCAGGACTTCTTTAAGCTTGTCTGTGGACCAAATGGACATTTATAGACTATAGGATAAGAATCCATAAGGATCCCCTCTGGCTCAGCCTACCATGTGAAATATTATTGTGGGTAGGAGTAAAGACGCTAGAACCAAATCAGCTGGGTTCAAATTCAGGTTCCATCATTTAACTCAGTGCCATAATTTTCTCATCTATAGAGTGGGGATCATGATAGTATCTACCTTAAAGGATTGTTGTGAGGATTAAATGAGTTATATACATAAAGGACTTAAAATAGTAACTGGTATATAAGGGCTATATAAGTTTTAGAGCTATTACTAGTTACTCTATTACTCCATATTAGACTTTTCTTCTTTTTTGCATTTTCTATGGTTCCTTCAGATCACACCTAAAAGCTTTGCTGACTGTTGCATTGATCTAGGAAATCAAATGTAAAAATTCTTTGTGGTAACTGTTTGCTTTTTCCTTTTGATTACTCTGATTTTTTCTGTAAGAAGGTAATTGGAACACTTTTTCTCTTATCCTTTTCCCCATGGTAATATCAAAAACAATTCTGCCTTCTCATTTCCAGTGCCCCTCTGCCATGACCACATGCAGAAAGCACTTCCCAGAAAAGGCTAAGCCACTGCCACCCATCTTATCCCTACTACAGAGTCTTTTACTTAAGTGTATTCTGGACTTACTGGTGAGTAGGTGACAGAGCATTAGGAAAAGAGTGTTGATGTTAGGGTTTAGTAGCTGGAAAAAGGGGAGTTTTGTTGGACTAGGTCATCATAAAACTGTAGTTAAACCTTGTGTGCCAAAATTCATACTTGGAGACAACAAATGCAATGTAAATATGGGGCCTGGGTGTGGTGGCTCACACCTGTAATTCTAGCACTCTGGAAGGTCGAGGCAGGTGGATTGCTTGAGCTCAGGAGTTCAAGACCAGCCTGAGCAAGAGTGAGACCCCACCTCTAGAAGTAGCAGGGCATTGTGACAGGCACCTATAGTCCCAGCCACTTAAGAGGCTGAGGCAAGAGGATCACTTGAGCCCCATAATTTGAGGTTTCTGTGAGCTCTGAAGTCAAGGCACTCTACAGATGGCAACAAACTTAGACAATGTCTCAAAAACAAAGCAAAACCAAAAAAACATAAATACAGGGGTTGTTTGTTCATTTGTTTTGAGACAGAGTCTCACTCCATGTCCTGGGTAGAGTGCCATGGTGTCCATGTAGCTTACAGCAACCTCAAACTCTTGAGCTTGAGCAGAAACTACAGGCACCTGCCAGGACACTTTCCTATTTTTTCTTAGTTTTTCTATTTTTAGTAGAGACAGGGGTCTCACTCTTGCTTAGGCTGGTCTTCAATGCCTGAGCTCAAGCAATCTACCTGCCTCGGCCTCCCAGAGTGCTAGGATTATAGGCATGTGCCACCACCATGCCTGGCTGCAACATAAATATGTTTTTATACTTTAGACAATATCATAACTTGGTTCATTTCTAGTTTTTTTTTAAAGTATTGGTCAAGTTGTTGTTAAATCTATTCAAGTAAACTTTTTTTTTTAACAGTGAGATGTATGATGTATGGTTTCGGAGATGACCAGAATCCTTATACTGAGTCAGTAGATATTCTTGAAGACCTTGTCATAGAATTCATTACTGAAATGGTAAGATTCTTTTGTAATTGGTTGTAGTTAATTGAATAATAGAATTGAAATTCTAGGCTTCAGATAAGACTAAAACTGAAGGCATCTTTTTTGAGGATACATTTGAGTGCTTGTTTGTGGAAGTTACTGGTTACTGTTTATGAATAGGGATGGATGTGCATATATATTCTATGCCCTCCCCCTGGATTTCATTTATGAAGATATAAAATCTTTGAATAAAACAAAAATAGTACCCATAATGCCATTATCCAAAGTAGTTTTTCCCCCTCCTTTTCAAGTATTTACTTAAAAGATATATAATGTTTCCATAGTGGTAATCATAGTAACGTTCTTTGTACTTAAAGTTTTATAATAGAAATATCTTGTGTTCTAATCATAATTATTTTAGCAGCTACCTAAAATTCACTGAAATTGTTTTCTAATTTACTTCGCTATTTTCTTATTATTAAGTTATTTATAGGTTCTTTTATTTTTATCAGAATAGTTAATGCTGAATAACCATATTCATGAAATTTCCCTTCTAGTGGATATATTCTCAAGAATAGGATTACAGAGTTTGGTTGTGTTTAGTTCTTAAAATTTTTATCCTGTGTTATCTTACTACAGAATAGAAGGAAAATTACTAGATCAGAGAATATGATGTATTTTTATGTATTTATTATTTTTTTTGAGACAGAGTCTCACTATGTCACCATTGGTAGAGTGCCAAGGCGTCACAGCTCACAGCAACCTCCAACTCATGTGCTTAAGCGACTCTCTTGCCTTAGCCTCCCAAGTAGCTGGGACTACAGGCATCCTCCTACAATACCCAGCTATTTTTTGTTGCAGTTGTCATTGTTGTTTAGCTGGCCCAGACCAGGTTCAAACCTGCCAGCCTTAGTGTATGTGGCTATCACTATAACCACTGTGCAACAGGCACCAAGCCAATATGATGTATTTTAAAAATTTTTTTTTCTGTTTATAAAAGTATTTGAAATTGATTAATATAATCTAGAAACTAGAAGAAACTATAGCAAGAAAAGTAAAAATCTGTGATCCTTTCCGTTAGAGATAGCTAATAACTAACATTTCAGTGAATATCATTTTGGTTTTTTGAACATTTTAAACTCTTTATAAAATTGAAATTAAATAGTCTTAGAACCTGCTTTTTCCCTTAGGAAAGTCTAGAACAGTGGTTCTCAACCTTCTTAATGCCGTGGTCCTTTGATACAGTTCCTGTGGGTCGCGACCCACGGGTTGAGAACTGCTGGTCTAGAACATTTCCTCCATGTCATTGCGTAATATTCTATAATATTTTTAATGAGTTATAATATTGATTGAATAGATTTACTCAAAGCCTTATTATTAAATATTCAGTTTCCATTTTTTGACATTAGAAATAATGCTATTGTAAATCTTAGCTTTTGCATGGAATAAGTATCTGTAATGAAGGAGGGTTATTTATTTGATTTTAAGAAAATTTGCTAATATTTTATTGGCTATTGAGATGGAGGAGGACTTAAAGAATAAATGAAATAGGTGGTTACAAAGAAATTTTAAAATTCTTTTATACAAAGGAAGATAAAAACTACATATATCAAAATCAAAAAAGGAACATCAGTATATTTGATGGTTTTACTGCCCTTATTATTTTTATATTTTTTGAGATGAGTCTCACTTTGTCACCCTCTGTAGAGTACGGTGGTGTCATAGCTCACAGAAACCTCAAACTCTGGGACTTAAGTGATTTTTTTTGCCTCAGCCTCCCAAGTAGCAGGGACTACAGGCACCTGCCACAATGCCTGGCTATTTTTTTTTTTTAGAGACGAGGTCTTGCTCTGGCTCAGGCTGGTCTTGAACCTGTGAGCTCAGGCAGTCCACTGCCTCAGCTTCCCAGAGTGCTAGGATTACAGGGTTAAGCCACTATACTTGGCCATTAGTATTTTTTTTAAGTGCTTATGAAGCATAAAGAGTAGCATTGCTAATAACCCAGTAAAAATGGTCAAAGGACATGAATAGAAGGTTCACAAATAAGTAGCTATAATAATTAGAAGAGAAATTCATCCTCATCTGGCAATTAATAAATGCAAATTAAAACAAAATCTTTTGATTTTTTTTAAAGTTGAATTTAATATGTTTTTTTTGTAATAGACTCACAAGGCAATGTCAATTGGAAGACAAGGTCGAGTACAAGTTGAAGATATCGTCTTCTTGATTCGAAAGGACCCCAGGAAGTTTGCTAGGGTTAAAGACTTGCTTACTATGAATGAAGAATTGAAACGGGCTAGAAAAGCATTTGATGAAGCAAACTATGGATCTTGACATTTTTTGTAGTTTCTGAAACTCCATTATATTCTAGTGAAACCATATGTAATAATTGTTATATTTTCTGCAGTAATGTCCTGATATCTACCTATGTAAATGAAAGATAGAGAAACAGAGTTTTTTTGCCTTTATTTTCATGCCTTTGGTTTTATATTGATATTGGATTAATTGCCTGCCTTTATATGACATACTTGAATTACTTATTGAGTTTTAATGACCACACATAAGTCAAAGTATCTTTCAAACCAGGCAGTTCTATTAACAAAGGTTGAGATATTAATAGTTGTGTTAAATGTATTTGTGCCATTGTAAGCTATACTGTAGCTATTTAATATGTGAAATCTTTGGCATCTTTGACTATGATAGGTGAAATGTGCTTTATGTATTCTGAAGTTTTTATATAAAAGTAGTATGAGAGATTATTATAGTGAACTTTTTTTTTATTTTTATCTTATGTTTATTTTCATTTTTTTGAGACAGAGTTTCACTTTATCACTCTGGCATCATATCTCTCAGAACCGCAGATTTCAGGGCTCAAGTGATTCTCTTGTCTCAGCCTCCGGAGTAGCTGGAAGTACAGGTGCTTGCCACAAGGCCCGGCTATTTTTAGAGGCGGGGTCTTGCTCTGGCTCAGGCTGGTCTCGAACCTGTGAGTTCAGTGGGATTACAGGCATGTGCCACTGCACCTGGCCTATCTTTATTTTAAAGAGATGATAGAGGAAAATACTGGGTTTTTGTTAAAGATGTATATCTGTTTTAAAAGCTAATTTCTTTTTTTTCTTTTTTTTTTAAAGCTAATTTCTTTTAACATTCTTTTCTTCAGATAACAAGAATGATTTTATTTTATTTTTTTTTTTGAGAAACAAAGTTTCATGTGAATGCTTCCATGTTGGAAGGCTTTTTTGATTTAAAACAAACCTTTTGGGGATCATAGGATAACATATGTTAAGTTTGGGAGAACTAATTTTCCCAGATCAGATTAAAGCATCTAAAAATAAATGTAGCAAGAATGGCGTTGCTTAAAAATCGAATGGCATCAATGGCAAGATAAGCATTTAAAGTAGTTTTTTATTCACATATTTGTAAGTACTTGTTCATTGTGGAAACATACTTGATGAAAATCTTGTATGTCTATGGAAACTGCCTTTTTTTTTTTTTTTTAGTTTTTTTACACAGTTTATTTTTAGCTCTGTATTTTTATGTTGTATTCAGATCAAAATGAAACAAAATGTGGGTTTAATTGCCTCAGAAAAGGGCCATGTAAAAAGAAAAACACTGGGTAAAATTTTACCAATAGAGAATTACCATTTAGAGGGATGGATTTGAGTGACAGTACCATGGAAAGCGCTTTTGTAGTTCAGGAAATATGGGTTTCGTGTGTATGTACCTTATCAAATTATTACTGCATTTAGCTTAAAATAATGATTACAGTTGCATTTAAATCACTGAATGTTACTCTTTGTGAAACTGAACTTTTTGTGTGCTAATTACAAATGTTACCGATAAATCAGTATTTGGGAAAATTTTACTTAACCTATTAATACAAGGAATAAAGTATGAAATATTAAACAAGTTACCGCTTGAACTTAACAGTGATTTATAACCTTTTTTCTCCCAGAATATTATGTCCAGTACTAGTAATATGATAATTCTAGCTGCTTAATCTTAACCATAAACTTACTTATTTTTTCTTTTCTTTTTTTTGAGACAGAGTCTCACTATTTCACCCTCAGTAGGTGCTGTGGCGTCACAGTCCAAAGCAACCTCCAACTCTTGGGTTTAAGTGATTCTTTTGTCTCAGCCTGCCGGGTAGCTGGGATTACAGGTGCCTGCCATGACACCTGGCTATTTTTTGTTGCAGTTGTTTAGCGTGCTGTAGTGTCATCATAGCTCACAGCAACCTCAAACTCCTGGGCTCAAGTGATTCTCCTATGTCAGCTGGGACTATAGGCACTGGCTACAATGCATGGCTATGTTTGAAGATGGGGGTCTCACTCTCGCTCAGGCTAGTCTCAGACTTCTGAGCTCAAGCAGTTCACCTGCCTTAGCCTCCCAGGGTGCTAGGATTATAGGCTGAGCCACTGCCTGCTCTTCTTTCTTATTGTAAAGCATCTGAATTGATAAGGAGATTCAGCTCATAATCTATATTAATCTCTTTGTTATTTCAAAAAGCAACAGCCAATTGAAAATCCATCCCAGTCTAAAAATCAAGAATAGGCTTGGCCACTGTAGCTCAGCGGCTAGGGTGCCAGCCACATACACACCAGCCACATACACTAGAGCTGGTGGGTTCAAATCCATCCCGGGCCTGCCAAACAATAGTGACAACTACAACCAAAAAATAGCCAAGTTCCAGCTACTCGCGAGGCTGAGGCAAGAGAACTGCCTAAGCCCAAGAGCTAGAGGCTGCTGTGATGTCACAGTACTCTATGGAGGGCAACAAAGTGAGACTCTGTCTCTAAAAGAAAAAAGTCAAGCATTGTGGCGGGCACCTGTAGTCCCAGCTACTTGGGAGGCTGAGGCAAGAGAATCGCTTGAGCCTAGGAGTTGGAGGTTATGAGCCATGATGCCATGGCAGTCTACCCAGGGCGAAAGCTTGAGGCTCTTGTCTCAAAAAAAAAAGAAAAAAAAAGGAATTTGTTGGGGCACCTGTGGCTCAGTGAGTAGGGCGCTGGCCCCATATACTGAGGGTGGTGGGTTCAAACCCAGCCCCGGCCAAACTGCAAACAAAAAAATACCTGGGCATCGTGGCGGGCGCCTGTAGTCCCAGCTACTTGGGAGGCTGAGGCAAGAGAATTGCCTAAGCCCAGGAGTTGGAGGTTGCTGTGAGCTGTGATGCCACAGTACTCTACCAGGGGCAATAAAGTGAGACTCTTTATCTCTTAAAAAAAAAAAGAAGGAGGCTCAGCACCTGTGGCTCAAGTGGCTAGGGCACCAGCCACATACACCAAAGGTGGCAGGTTCGAATCCAGCCTGGACCCGCCAAACAACAATGACGGCTGCAACCAAAAGAAAAATAGCCGGGCGTTGTGGCAGATGTCTGTGGTCCCAGCTACTTGGGAGGCAGAGGCACGAGACTCAATTGAGCCCAGGAGTTGGAGGTTGCTATGAGCTGTGAAGCCACGGCACTCTACCCAAGGGGATAGCTTGAGGTTCTATCTCAAAAAAAAAGAAGGAATTTGCTGGATTACCCAACTGAAACATGGGAAAGAAGGGATGGAGCTGAACTGGATCTCAGTGCTTGAAGAGAATCAAGACTCTTTGTCACTCCGTCTTATATCCTACTTTTGGTTTTTCTTTCTCAGTATGGCAAAGGAAAATGATGGCCAGCAGTTCTAGGAGTCCATCCTTACAAGTCCAGACAGAAGAAGCTGGTTTACTTAGTGCTACAGAAAATTTCAAATGGGGGTTATCATTGTCCTGGCTCTGGTCATTTTCTTCTTGGACTGATCACTGTGTCCAGGAGGAAGTTGTACAGTGGCCTGAATTTCATGCCCTGCTGCTCTGGTAAAGAAGAGCTCAGAGTGGGGTTGGGAGAAGAAAGCTGGATGCTGCTACTTAGCAAAAAGGAGAAAGCGAGACTGGGAAGACTAATTTGAGTCATGAACTTAACTGAAATCTGGTAGAAAGGCAGCATGGCTGTCTCCTGATACCTAGAGCTGCACTATGTCATATGGAAGCCAGTAGCCACATGTGGCTATTTAATTAAAATTAAATCAGAAATTCAGGCTGGGCTCAGGGGCTCATGACTGTAATCCCAGCACTCTTGAGGCTGAGGTGGGAGGATCACTTGAGGTTAGAGGTTGAAGACCAGCCTGAGCCAGAGCAAGACCCCATCTCTACTACAAATAGAAAAATTGGTCGGGATTTGTGGTAGGCACCTGTAGCCCCAGCTATTTGGGAGGCTGAAGCAAGAGGATTGCTATTCCCAGGAATAGTTGCTGTGAGCTAAGCTGATACCATGGCACTCTAGCCTAGGGCAACAGTGTGGACTCTGTCTCAAAAAAAAAAAAAAAAACTTAAAAATTCAGTTCCTCAGTTGCACTTGCTGTATGTGTGTGTGTATGTCTATATATATGTGTACACATATATTTATTAGCTGTGAATTCTTGAACTCCAGTGGTCCTCTAGCCTCAGCCTTCTGAGTAGTTAGGGCTACAGACACTCACCACTATGCCCAACTAATTTTTCTTATCTTTTGTAGAGATGAGATCTTGCTGTGTGGCCTAGGCTGGTTCTAAGCTCCTGGCCTCAAGCGATCCTCCTGCCTCAGCCTCTCAAACACTTGCTATATTTTAAGTGCTTGGTAGCCCTATGGCAGGTGGCTACAGCATTGGACAGTGTTGACAGAGAACATTTCATTATCACAGAAAATTCTTCGGGACAGTGCTGATCTGGAGTGTATAGATACTCTCTCCTAAGTTAATTCATTTTTTTCTAACTTTCTTTTTTGGGGGACAGATTCTCACTTTGTTGCCCTCGGTAGAGTGCCATGGCATCACAGCTTATAGCAACCTCTAATTCTTGGGCTTAAGCGATTCTCTTGCCTCAGCCTCCCAAATAGCTGGGACTACAGGCACACGCAATAACGCCCAGCTATTTTTTTTGTTGTAGATGTTGTTGTTTTGGCAGGCCCGGGCTGGGTTCAAACCCGCCAGCCCAGGTGTATATGGTGGGAGCCCTTGCCTCTGAGCTACAAGTGCTGAGTCTATTTTTTTTTAAACTTTCTATGGAAAATCTCAAACATAAATAAAAAATAGAATAGTGTAGTGAATGAGCGCTCAGCTTTAACAAAACTAACTTTTGCCTATTTGTCTTAATGATTTCCCTACTTTTTTGTAGGGGGAAGCAATATTATTATTATTATTTTTTGAGACAGAGTCTTGCTCTGTCACCCCAGGTAGGATGCTGTAGCATCATCATAGCTCACAGCAACCTCAGTCTCTTAGGCTCAGGAGACTAGTGCTAGGATTACAGGCATGAGCCACTGCACCCAACCAGCAGGATTATTTTAAAACAAAACCCAGACATCATTGTACTATTTCATCTATAAATACACAAGTTTTCTTTTTTTTTTTGAGACAGAGTCTCACTGTGTTGCCCTTGGTAGAGTGCTGTGGCATCACAGCTCACAGCAACCTCAGACTCTTGGGCTTAAGCAATTCTCTTGCCTCAGCCTCCCAAGTAGCTGGGATTACAGGCACCTGCCACAACACCCAACTATTTTTTTGTTGCTGTTATCATTGTTGTTTAGCTGGCTCAGACTGGGTTTGAACTCACCGGTCTGGGTGTATGTGGCCAGCGCCCTACCCACTGAGCTATGGGCATCACTCATAAGTTTTTTTTTTGGAGACAGAGTCTCACTATGTCACCCTTGGTAGAGTGCTGTGGTGTCACAGCTCACAGCAACCTCCAACTCTGGGCTTAAATGATTCTCTTGCTTCTGCCTCCCAAGTAGCTGGGACTAGAGGTGCCCACCACAACGTCCGGCTATTTTTTGGTTGGAGTTGTCGTTGTTTGGCATGCCAGGGCCGGTTTCGAACCCACCAGCCTTGGTGTATGTGGCTGGTGCTGTAA